GTATACAACACAAATTACATACACACACGAACTATCTCACAAACATAAACACACACGCACACGACAAACTCAGATTCTCACACACAGCCCGAACTAGGTTTATTTAAACCTGTGTTTCAGGCTATCAATGCCAAAAAAATGATTTGATGGATATAATTATAAATAAAAATCGTATTGCACAATTATTTAAAGACCAAGCAAGGACAACCTGTCCTAAATTATGAAACAAACAACACTATACTAGTTAATATGTAGATTTATCACTAAAAATAAGCAGTTTATTTTAACACTTCTAGTAATTTTTCCGTTTCTGAGTAATTGAGGGACTGTAAATATTCTGTAAGTATTAGATTACACTTATATAAACTTACACTATAAACTTTTAACAACCTGTTGAGTTTGTTATATAAATATGGTCCTAAAAACAAATAAAATCTGTTAGTAAAAGCATGTTTCGTCTGAGGGTTAGTGCAAACTAAATCCTTTCTTCTCTTGTCGGAAGATATCGGGCTAAAACCAATTTCAGTATGCTGCAGCAGTACTACGTTAAGGATGAATAACTGGCGTACTGTCAGTACTTTGCATTCCCTGTATAGCTGTTGAGTAGGAAACTTGAAAGGACGAAAGGTGGCGACCTTCAGAATTGCTCTTTGGGCACGTTCTAGGGGCAGGAGAATAGTTTTTAGAGCACCACCCCATGAGTTAATACAGTAGGCAAGAATGGATTGACATAATGCCATATATACCTGGCGGATTAAGGCAAAGTCCGCAATGTTGCGCAAGTATTTGAAGACATATATTAATTTTCGTACTCTAGTGCATAATGTATCAATATGTTTTCGGAAATTGAGATTAGCATCAATAGTGACACCTAGATATTTTATATAGTCAGTTTTTACCAATGTAGGGCAAGCGCATGCTGTGTCAGCAGTCGTGCTCGTATGACAACTATGTGCATAAATGTTAAGGTTAGTAGTCGATATGTGAGTATTTCTCATTGAAAATAACATGTAGTTTGTTTTATCTGAATTCAATGTTAGGAGATTATTATGAAGCCAATTAGACACTATATTAAAACCATTTTGGGCAAATTCATAGACCTCATCATTTGATTTACCTGTGAACACCAGAGCTGTGTCATCAGCATATGACATAATAACACCATTTTGGAGGGTCAAGCTGCATAGGTCATTGATATATATTAGGAATAAGGTAGGACCTAATATACTACCCTGAGGAATTCCGTAACTACTGTTTTTTAGTTCAGAACTTCTATATTGACCAATTTTTACGCACTGCTGACGATTTTTAAGATAGTCCGTGAATAATTTCAGCTGTACTCCTCTTATACCAATTTTTTCAAGTTTATGGAATAACAAGGAGGAAGAAATGGTGTCAAATGCCTTCGCAAGGTCTAAGAAGATCCCAATTGTGTACATACCTTTATCCAAACTTGTGCATATATAATTAGTGAGTTGATGAACCGCTTGGTTAGTTGATCTTTTAGATCTGAATCCAAATTGACGATTGGAGAGTAAATTGTTGTTCTCAAGATATTTAATTAGTCTAACGTTAATAATTCTCTCCAAAATCTTAGAAAGGCCTGATAGTACTGCAATAGGTCTATAATTGGTAATATTAGTTTTGTCTCCGGCTTTAAAAACGGGAGTTACTAAGGCCTTTTTAAGAAGATTGGGAAATATACCGTTCGTTAAGCATAAGTTAAATATATATGTTAGTGGAGGTGCAATTACGTGCTTAAATCTTTTAAGTACATTATTAGGGATGTCATCCCACCCAACAGCACAAGAGTCCTTTAATCTATCTATAATACTAACTATTTCTTTAACGTCAGTGTCGAGTAACACAAACGAACCTAAGGTAGTAAGTGACATAGTTGTACTTTGCGAAAAGGAATTTCTGTATAGAGCTTTTTCAGCTAGATTTTTACCAATATCAACAAAATATTTGTTCACTTTATTTGCCCGTTGCACGTTATAAATGTACTGAAATATTTAAAATACAATATCTATGAATATCTATAATCCATGACAAATAAATGCTTGTAAAACCACACCCGATTAACTATCTTTAAGGTAGAACTTACTACAAAGAACTGATGGTGACAATGTATATATTACTATCTATCTATCTATCAATATAAATAAAATGTTTCCGTTCGTTAGTCTCGCTATAGAACGGCTGAACCGATTTGGTTAATTTTGGTCTTGAAATGTTCGTGTCTCGGTAAGGTTTAAAAGGTGAGGAAATAAAATGTAGGCGGTACGAAGTTGTTGGCCGGTGTAGCCAGTTATAATTAAAGATAAGCTATAAAAGTATAATTGTTTAATTGCACGGTTACGCAATACCAACGTAGGGTTCAAGGTGTTTGTGTCGCTTGCTTACGTCCTCAATAGCCTTTTGTGCTCTATACAGGATATTTCTGGTGTAGTAAGGTTCCAAATCTCTGAAGCAATCTCCTCTATACATTGGTGTCCATTCTGCAACGCGGGATGTTAAATATCGTAAATTATATTTGTAACATTTATACCTAGAGGTAATTACAAACATTACATTTATTTATTGCGAACGATCGTGATATTGTGCATCCCCATAGACGTTCGCAATAAATAAATGATGAACCTTTGACTGCCATCAGAAAACAGTTGAAAGCAAATCCTCCGCTAACTCCGGCCACCGGTGACGACACGGATATTTATCTGTATCTAATAGTTTCACAAACAACAAATACCGTTGTGGAACAAATTCCGTTTTTTGACAGTTTTTTGCAAAAGGTAAAATATACAAAAGGTGAGGCCAGTCGATCACCTCCCCTGGTCGGAGGATCCTGCTTTTCATTCATTATCTTTTTGATCTTGGGGAACGTAACTCTCTGTTCCCTAAAGTGTTTTCAAGGAAAACGCTTAGGAAGTGTGATATTTTTACTTTGTTTCTGTTGAACCTCGCTGTGACCGCGACTAGTGCTAAATATTAAATTTTAATATTAAGAGCAATAGTGCACTAGTGGCTAGGCCGCATTAGCAGAATTGGGCCTTCGGTAACTTTACTCTCACGACGAAACACAACGCAAGCGTTGTTTCACGTCAGTTGTCTGTGACGCCGTGGTAACACTCCGGTCGAGCCGGCCATTTATGCCGAAGCATCGGTCTCCCATACCAAAAACTATACCGTACAATCCAATTGATCTCAGTGGCCGCAGCGGCCAGCGACTGAACACGAGCCGCAAATGAGTTGCTACAATCTCGCTGGCCACTGCGGCTTGGAGCGGCCTGGAGCGGCCGCACGTTGCGTGCGGCCAAGTGCGTGAATTCTATAGCGATTTTATGTTAATTCATCTATCTCGATGGCCGCCGCGACCTAGCCGCTGGTGCGCTATTGCTCTTACTGTCTTTATTTCTGCAGTCGAAACTCTTCATAGCGCAAAAACTCTCAAAATTTTTTATTTGACCTCTGTCGTTCCTTGCACAAAGTTTCCCGTATCTACAACAAAATATTATAGTTTAAAAGGTAAAAAGTAAACACTAAATAGGCTAAAAAAATAATATAAGTCATATAATAACAAGTTGGGTGAACACATGGTCGTGAAATTAACCCAATGCACCACTCGCACTCGGCCAGGGGTTTCATTTCCATATCTTGTGTTGCAATGTGGTGACAGCAGAGTAGAATTACCTAATATATTGGTTATCACACCTAATTTTAGTTCGAGTGTATAGCCGACGACTGCACATTTAATACAGACCGGGCCACAGTGCTCGCTGGTAAACTTGAGCTTATCAAGTCATGGTCTCCGATCCACCTGCTAAGCGTGGAGATTATGGAAAACACTTTTTTATCGGATAGGCCGCCCAGCGAGGATATGAATCACCTGATGATCAGCAATCGGCGCTACCCATGGATCACTGGAACACCAGACGAGTTACTAACTGCGTTGCCGGGTTAGAGATTTGTCGATAGGGATTTGGAGATTGGATAAGCAGAGACAGGGGATGGGGGAATAGGGTCTACGGTAAGCTTCCCCACACGGTGAAACACAACAGAAGGATCGTATTATGCCGGTTCTGTGAGGCCGTGCTAGCAGTTCGGTTGAGACAGCCCATTCGTGTCGAAGCATATGTATAGGTCTTATGTATGTTCGTGAGCCCCATAAACCTTCAGTGAAACGTTGCGGATGGTTGATCTGACTCACGGTTTGAGAGTTCTATTAATTTAATAAAATATACAATTATACAAACTGGATGAATATCAGGGAACATCGAACCCCGCAAATATATTTCGACCCTGTTTTATTTGGGACAAATTTATCAAACACCCAGCCTCCATCGGCCCAGTAGGGTTCGTATCCGTAGTTGGGGTCGTAGCTGGCGTTCCGTGGTGGGCCAGCTTCTTGGCTTGGCAACAAGTCCATAATGTCCGTCGTTGTACCCACGTTCGCAGTAGTGTTGCTGCCAGCTCTGAAGAAAAGAGATTACCTTTGTATGGGAGTCTGGTCATCCGCGCCTCTAGTAATGTTTCAATGTTTTCCTATCCAATGTAATACGTACTGGCCAGGAGCAAGTATTAGCTTTTGCAGAGTCCGATATTAATCGCTAAACTAATAAAGTCAAAGTCAAAGCATTCAATTAAACCATAATTTGGTACTTTTGAAACTTCAACAAATACAAAATAAATAATAGTCTGTCCGTCAGTCCGCCTGTGAAGCTAGGTGAAGATAGGTGCTCATTCCAAAATGTAGATTCGAATGGAGAAGAACGATCAAGAAACTCCATTCGTTACTCTTTTTAAAAAAATATGTTGTACAATGTCTCTGATACATATTCCAATACTGTACGCATATGTAAGAATAACGCAAAGATACGCTTGACGCATTATATTAATTACAAAACTTACTAAAATAAAAAACATGGTGCTCATATATGCATACTGACAATCCATAAAAATATTGCTTCTATACAAGAAAAAGGCAACTCTTTGTTTCAGTAAAGAAAGAAATGCTGGATGCCACAAGGAAACTAGATTGTCCACATTAGAATGAAAGTATTAAATTATTGAATTATCTACTACTGGAATCTAACTACTGACTACATTTGAGTATTGTCCAGTGGCGCCGAACCAACAACATGCTGCCAAGCATTCATCTCTTCAAGATCAGTCAGTCAGTGTGTTACTACATGTATGTATACAACAAACATAATATATAAATATTATGTTTTAAATTTACTTTCATTGTGATCTAGCTTTTTGGTATTTTATTATAGCATTTAATACCTAACCCCATAAAGGATTTCTGTACCTTGTATATATTCTGAATTGCGGTACAGCTAACTGATTTTTGCCTCTAGTATTAAAATTGTGTCTATCGCTTCTTTTTTCAAACAATTGCCTATTTTTCCTTACATACATTATATTTTCATTTATATATTGACAGGGCACCGTTAAAATATTTATCATTTTAAACAATTCTCTCAGTGATTCGCAACGGCGTAAGTTATATATTGCTCGGATTTCCCGCTTGTAAAATAAAAGTATTATTACAAAAAATATTGAAATTAAAGTGCTATGAAAGTAAATTAATAGCTACTTAATACAAAGCCACGCTGGATCTTTTTATACTGTACAGTAAAACATAAC